TAAAGAGTTTATAACTACATATGAGTGAGAGAGAGATAAAGAGATTGGGTGCGCAAGACCGGCAAGACCCCATTTCGCTTGGCTGTGTGCACACTGCACAGCTTTTTTTGTAACAGCGCGCGCGGCGCCGCATCCGAGGATGAACGACTTCAAGCCGAATCTGCCCGAGCTTGTACGTCTCACAGAATCAGAGCGTAGAAATACGGGATATTTTCAAGGGGGTAATCCACCAGCCGGAAACTGAAGTCTCCCCGGGCGCCGCCATTGGCTAACAAGCCTTCACCTGCTGTTAGCATCCCATTGACTCCCATTCATTTTTGCGTCACTTTGACAGCGAATAACTTTACATCTGAGACGTTTAAAGACTCCATTTGTCCATTATTTATTTCTAAAGAAACACGACAATGTATAAAATGCTCCATTACCTTGTATCTTACGTTGTGGCCCCGTAGAAGCAGTTTTTGTACAAATAGGCTAACGATTGCGTCATAACACGCGACTCTCTGTCGCATAGAAGAGAAATGACCGTAAAGACAGATGTAGAAGCTCACGCGCAATCGGGGGACGTGGAGGCATAAAGTCAAGGGAAAAGCCCATAGAGAGTCATAAAGTTGCTCCTGCTGCGAGCTCATGAACAGCTAATACTCACGATCTCCGGCTCTGCAAGATTCAGAAGGGAATGATTCAGATTCTGCTTGGCACCGCTACTAGATGACGTACAACTGTCAGTCAGGTTGCTCACGTCACAACTACGTCTTCAAGCTCAGTTTGAGCATGCGCAGTGCGCTTGGCAATCAGGAAGTGAGTGCTTCTATTTGACTTCACTTTTCTCCGTTGAAGTCTATGGGGTCGCTGTGTCCATTTCTTTTACTGTCTATGGATATTTTACGGGAAAATACTAAAACGGGAAGACAGCGGGAAAAGAGCTAAAATACGTGAGAAACCCGGAAAAAACGTGAGGGTTGACAGCTATGACCGTTTTCAAGTTCAAGTCCACCGACGTTCATCTACTGACAGCTTTGTTGTCGGACAAAATTGCATATTCGGCGTTATGATTGGCCAGGTCGCCTGTCAATCAAACCCCCGTGGGCAGCAGGACAGGGCATGGTGAAATGAAACGTCACGTTTTAATTTACCATAATACATTTATTCTATATTTAACTTGTGAACGATCGACCTGCTGCTGCACATAGGCCTATAGATGGCTGCCTGGAGTGCCTGCGCCTTATTAGAATATAGCTACGCATGCATCAACCAATAAATCGCCTCCACCCATTCACTTCATTCTAGAGTCTAGACTATTTTTTAAAACACAGCGTCATCGTCGACCCCACAAATTTTCGGTAAGTTTGATTATTAACTTGATGGATGTTTGATCTTGCTTTTTGTGTTTGATCAAACTCTATATTCGCCTAAAGGGCTGGCGATAATATATCCGGTAGAAATATGTAAATTTTGCTGAGACATCATGATGTAGGCTAAGTTTATAAATTAAACGCGTTTTTAATCATTGTGGTTTGGATACAAATTATTTTAAATGATGGTGAACTTGAGGCGGTTTTGCACAGCGCACTTGAGTTCCGACCCTGAGGTCTTAAAGTGACAGTAGCTGCTAATAAAGCTGCTGTCGCCATTTGTGTCCATAATGTTAATCAAACATCAGAAAGAAAGTAATTTACTGCCCTTGAATGAATCACTTTTGTAAAATTAATAAGAATGAATGTTGAATTTATAGTGAAAACTATGTATTGTATATTTGATTACTTTATACAATATAATATTCAGTGCTTTTTAAGTTTTTCAAGGTCGATTTCTTATGTGCCTTTGTTCTATTGTTATTTGTTGTTACTCTTGTCATTGGTAAGCTTGATTATTTTTTGTGATATTGAAATTGGTCACAAGAATTATGAAATGTTAGTGCCATTAAATTTTGATATGATAAAAAAATCGTTTTAAAAGTAATATAACTTAACTGTGAAGTATATCATAGATGGATAAAATGACTCGTATAATGATAGAACATTTAGCTAGTTGGTGACCTGTAGTGGTGGGGGGCCCTGAAGTAACTCATAGCCCCGGGGCCCAGTGAGCTTTTAATGCGGCCCTGCTTATATCGTGCCTTCTTGCGTTTACCTTTTTTATGAGTGAGCGTGTGAGCATAGAAAAAGGCCCCCCCTGCAGATAGCATGATGTCAAAATAAAAGTCACATAAAATAATAATATAAAAAACAGGATAATCATAATAAAACACTGCTAGTGGTCATCTACATAAGCTCTTCAGTTTCTTCAGTTCATTGTCTGGTATTGTTGTGTTCTACACACTGTTTCATTTATGTTTTTCTCTATTGGAGTTTACTTTCTTTAATAAAATGACTTATATTTGACCTTCTTCACCTCTGCTCGTCAGCATCGGACTGTAAACTTGACACACTTCATAACTCAAAAGTCTAAATATTATCCAATTGTTATTTTTAATGTGATGACCAAAAACGTTTTTGAATATCCTTCAAAGGTTGTCCCCATTTGTAAAACTAAGTTTCACGATGTATAGGAAAACTAACACTTGGTGAAAAACAAACACTTTTAAAATGAAAAAAGACACTAAATTACCGCTACAACCAGTAGATGGCCATTCCATTTGGGACAGGGCCAATAGTAGGTTGTAACTGCACTATTTGCACTTGAGATTTATTTTGTACATGCAGTTTAGGGACAAGTTGAAGATTTCAAAACTAGTTTTATTTGATGCAGATGATAGCTATTTTACCAAGGTTTGAGACATACCAAACAAGTAGTTATACTGATAAGGCTTTTTTTTTTTTTTTTTTTTTGGATAGCAATAGTAGGCCAAAAAATCTTGTAGGTCTAGATTTCCCTCTTCCTGAGATGGTATTTTATTGATTGGAAAAGTGAGATGACTGTGAAGCGCACAGGAAGGAGTAGGAATATCCTTGTAAGGAGTCTCTGTCTCACTATTAACAGAAATAACAGAAAAAAAATTGTTGTGCAATCACTGGACGAGTGCTACGTGAAATTTGATTTCTTGTATATCTCTTTTAAAAAAAGAAGCTTGTGATATAATTTCATATTAAATGCTTCAGAACTGCCAGTCAATTAGCCTAAAGCACATCCTTACCATACATGAATAATTCAAGCAGATGTTCCAGAGGTTTATATTTTAGTTTTATCGTTTTAAGCATAAATATTTGATTCATGTGAATCTGGTATGTCACATTGTAACACATGGTAACCCTCTGTATTGGTTAAAATAGGACCTGTTAACTCATTGGTAACATTTAAATGACTAATACTTGATACTTAAAGCTGCAGTCCATAACCTTTTTGGGTTAAAAATTATCCAAAATAAATTTTTGAGCAAGTACATAACCAGCCAGTGTTCAAAACTATCTGCTTGTCGTAGCTCGATTCAAAACGGGAAGCTTGTAATAATGTTTTTAATTTCAGTGGTACTGGTGGATTTCCACGGGAGATTCGAGCATGTCTTTGCGTCATTACGTCACATCTGTACACATTAAGAAGAGTCTCGGCTAGTAGGCTATATTGCGTGTGAGGATGTTGGAGGTGGAGATTTATAGCCTTTTCTCACAGCACTTAATATAATTAAACTTATCAATTTGATGGCAGATCCAGAAAGGTTCAAACGACAATCACCAGTGACAACTGGAGATTCACCCGTTGTAAAATGCAAAAGACTTTGGACTTCGGAGTGGCTACAGAAAAAAAAGAGACTGCAACCGGGCATGTGAAAGGATAAATATCGGAAGGGCATTAAATGTAGTCACGCAATGCTGATGTTGTTAACATTAACAATTTGAGAACAAAGTATAATTTGCACGGTTTGACTTGATATGATAAGCGATCGTTAATCAGCGCGAGTTACTGCGATGCTTTTTTCCCTTATTTGGTCAGAACAAAAGTGGATGTTACTTGTTCAGATGACATTTTCCGGTGAAAATTCTTATGTTGGTCATACTTCCAAGAAGTAGAATCTGTGATTGTGAATGCCAGTATCCACACCGGCGCGGTGACTGACAGCCGCACATTGGATTCATACGCGCTGTGCCGTACCGAGGCACAACCCACGTAAAGTTGATAATTACGCGAATGACTGCAATTGCCGATTTCGAACAGAGATGGCGACAAAGAGGAAAAACTACGGACTGCAGCTTTAATCTTAAAGATTTTATTTAATAGGCTATACGTATGTATTCAGGCATTTTCAATTGCAGATTTTACTTATTCCTTTATGCAAAATGTAACCCTAAACCCCATCTTCTCTTTGGTTGTTATGTTAGATGTTATATAACCATGGATAAACCTGTCCATCTTGGTTAGTCCAGTGTATCTCTCCCACACAAGTATTTAGATAAAATATTGCAGATAAAAAATAAATAAAACGAATCAAATGTTATTTATAATTGCATAAAACCTGCATGAAAGCTTTTTCAATAAACGTATTTCAATATTGTAGTAATTACACTATTTGTGTTGAGTTTATGAGTGTCAGTGTTGGCACACAATCATCAGAAACTTTGCAAAGAATAATGATATAAAAAAAAAAATTATTATATTTACGGTGAATAACTATTAAGATCTATATATTATGAACACACACTCTCTCTCTCTCTCTCTCTCTAGGAAAGTCCACATTACAATTTAGAGTGATCTGTTATAAAAGGTGACTGTCTAAGTTATGTATTTCAGAAATGTACATATACAAATCACAGTTAGCTAAAAAAATATTAATTTAAACAACATAACCATTTAAGGCAATACATTATTTTAGCATTGCCCTGATTCAATTCAATTCAAGACATATGTTTTAACATTTGGGATGGTTAGACTGGAGAGGAAAATGCATGCCAGATATAATAATTTCTTTCAATAGCATTAACATGTTTACATTTAAACAAAGTTAACATTATTTATTCATGGATGGACTAGCATTAAAAGATGCATAAAAGTCAATATGATAATATTCATTCAAGTATCAAGGTGTTTGAGCTATTGAAGCAACAGATATAAGTGGATATGAGAATCTTAAAGGCTTTCTGAAAGCGTGGATAGAAAAAACCATAGATCAATGGGTTACAAGTGGAGTTAAAGTATCCAAACCAAACCAAAGCATCAAAAACATCACCAGGAGTCACGAAATTGAGGAAAGGATCAACAGCAGTGGCGGTAAAAAAAGGCATCCAGCAGAGATAAAAAACACCCATAACAATGGCCAGAGTTTTTGCTGCTTTTCCTTCTCTTTGTGCAGAGCTTTGGCTCTTCAACCCTCCTGCTGTCACCACAGTCACTCTTTCTGACATAACCTTTGCATGTTTTCTTGCAACATGGAAGATTTTCATATAAAGAGAGCTCATGATCGTCCCAGGGAGGAAGAATGTGAGAAGTGAGCAAATAAGACCCCACTGTTTGTTAAAAAAAAGAACACAACTTCCCACACAGTAAACCTGCATGATAAACGACTCCAAGCCAAATTTGTTCACACCTGAAAACACAATAGAAAAACTGTAGAGAAATGAAAACAGCCATGTAAATGTAGTAAATAAAGTCACAATGTTGTTTGTGACCCTCATTTTGTACCTTAAAGGGTCACAAATGGCCCAGTACCTGTCAATAGATATTAAACTGAGATGTATTAAAGAAGAAATGCTGAAAGTCATGTCCAAACCAGAATGCACTTTACACACAGCATTTCCCAGATACCAGCAGCCTTCAACAGATCGCACCATGCTGTACGGCATGACCAAAGAGCCCAGAAGACAATCACTGGCAGCCAGAGAGCGAACGATCAGATGAGTTGGAGACTGTAGATGTTTGAAGTGAGAGATGGAGATGATGATCAGCAGGTTCCCAAAAACTGTTGTGAGGATCATCAGCACCATGAAAATATACAATGCCACTTTAAGGATAGTAAGACGATGAGCTCTTGGACAGGAGTCCGGCAGGAGTGGATAGCAGAGAAGCACATTCTCATAGTAAATGTCAGTTTCATTTGAGGTCATTACGAAGATATAAACTGATATGCAGGATCAAAACACAATATTTCCTTTGTAAATGTAAAAAATAAAATCCCACAGATATCGTTGAAACTCTGAGGGGAATCAGACACAGTCAGATAGAGACCAAAAAACAAAGAATATATACAGTACATGCACATAAGGAACTACATAGTCTATGGATTCAGGAGCTCAGTTTGAGCTATATATACAGGATACTCAGGTTCCAAAACAGGTAACGCCCCGACCCTCATAAACATATTTGAATATGCTAACAATGGGGCAGTAACTAATCGTGGTACACGAGGTGCCCCCAGGTGGCCACAAAATTACAATTTATCTATCTATCTATCTATCTATCTATCTATCTATCTATCTATCTATCTATCTATCTATCTATCTATCTATCTATGGAATGAGAATTTTAATATATATTAACATGAAAACACATTGCAATTTCTAAATGTCAATATGATATATGCTGGTATGCTTTTAATAATTTTCCCCTCTTTTAATGTAGTAGAATGTAAGTTTCGACTACATCATTTTCTTGGCTATAGAGTGCTGCAGCGATGACACATTTAGCAGGCCAACCCAGAAGTTCGCATCACCCTCATTCCCTCGACAAAAATCCAATAGATTATTTCCATTGGCTTTTGGATTATTGCAGAAAATAAGCTCTCTGACAACTAAAAGTTTATGATTCTTACATGTATTGTTTATAATGATAATCTTCACAAATTAACCCAACTTTTATGAATTTTGAAGCCTAAATACAATCAGTATGTCAAAAAATAAGGCTATAAACAAACTACATGGTCACATGACTTCAGCACCATCACAAAGCTTCCAAGTTCCAATAACTCTTTCAGTCTTAATTTAAAAACATTTTACCTGAAAGTTCAAGTTATAATAGTTTGTGTTATATCCTTAGTAAGAAGGAATGAAGGAGATTCTTAAATAAGGAATTCTTTAATGACAGTATCAGTAGCAAACTAGTACAGCACAGATTGCTCGTGCAACGTTTCACTTTTCTTATTCTCCTATTCTCCATATCCACATCTCACGAACCTCTACCGCCACCTACTGTCCAGTATGCACAGAAGAACACAACATTCCCCCATCACTTAAAGCAAACTGTCTACACAGATATTTAAGAACAAAAGGAAACTCAATAACAAAGTTACCAAATTACCAAAGCATTCACTTGGTTATGTAACATAATTACTTAACTCAATCAGGCTAAAGAACAAAAATAAGTTTTACCAGAATTCTAAGAATGTAGCATTCCTATTAAAATCAACAACAAGATGACTTAATGAATCACTCATCCTTATATAGTCACGCAATGCAAGGTGACTAAGTAACACAGTCTTCCAGCCAACGAGGAGGTCGTCTCACACGGGTAGACACCCTTTGAAGAGTTTCGGGAACTTGAGGTGCCAGAGGAGGATGAAACTGAAATGACAAGTCCACAGCATCCATGTCAGTAGTCTCCGAAACAGGTGCAACAGAACGAGCCAGGTGAGAAGCATGCCAGTTCTTCCCGTCTGATAGCAGGTAAGTACACGCACCCAGTTTACGCACAATTTGACGTGGGATGGAAAACCTCGGATGCGCTTTCGAAACATGAGTTGGAATGCGCACACGCACCCAATCTCCCACTTTGAAATCAGGAGGGTGAGCAACACGTCTGGAGTCAGTGTATGCTTTCATTTTCTTTTGTTTCAAAGAAACTCGCTGCAGAAGCGCAGGCGCATCCTGACGCGTTGTGAGAGGAGGAAGAACATTAAGACGCTTTCGCATCCTTCTGCCATGAAGCAACTCAAATGGGGATAGTCCTGTGGCAGAATGTGGTGTAGCACGATACACTTGGAGAAATTCCGTGACTGCAGGTTTCCACGGCTTCGTTTCCAGAACAGCAGACTGAATGCAGCCTTTCAGCACGCGATGAAATCGTTCGACAGCTCCATTCGCGGCAGGGTGGTACAAAGAAGTACGTATGTGTTGAATGTTTCTTTCATTTAGGAACATAGCAAATTCTGCTGAAGTAAATTGCGTTCCATTATCAGACACGATGGTACATGGATTCCCGTATCTACTAAACACAGATGACAAGAAGGTGGTAACATTTCGAGTAGTGATGGAAGCGGTGAAAGCGACTTCAGGCCACTTACTGTGATAATCAATCAATGTCAGCGCATAACGACAGTCCCATAAAGCGGTTTCAAATGGACCAACCACATCTATAGCTACCTTTTCCCACGGTACAGATGGAAAAGGTACTGGCTGCAGCGGCGCAGCAGAGGTGTTGGCAGTCTTGTCAGAGGACAGACACATTTGACAGGTCTGTATATGCTCTTTAGCAGGTGACAGAGCTGACATTGCAGGAGACATAAACGCCACAAACTCAGGTTCAGCATCCATGCAGTCTTCATCCGAAGCAGGTAAAGGCAGACGAGACAGACAGTCAGCAGTGCAATTTTGAACCCCAGGCCGGTAAATCACATCATAGTTAAAGCACAGTAAACGCGCTGCCCAGCGCGCAATGCGCATTCCGGCGCGATCAGTACCTTTGGAAGAGAAGAGCACAGTTAACGCTTGGTGGTCCGTCCGCAGGAGGAATTTACGACCCCACAAGTAGGTTCGCCACTTTTCAACGGCCCATACACATGCAAGTGCTTCCTTTTCAATGGTTGAGTACTTGCGTTCAGCAGGTGACAATGTCCGGGACGCAAAAGCGACAATGCGCTCAGTCTTGTTCTCATGAACTTGAGCAAGAACAGCGCCCAGACCATAGTCAGAGGCATCTGTAGATACCACCGTAGGCAAATCTGGGACGAACAATGAAAGTGCAGGACTGTCAATGAGCAACTTTTTTACAGCATCAAAGCATTGCTGAGCTTCCTCCGACCAGACGAAATCTGAGCCCTGCCTGATGCACGCACGCAGAGGTTCAACTACAGTGGCAAAGTTAGGGATAAACTTATTGTACCACGATAGTAGCCCGATGAAAGAACGGAGTTGAGGAGCCTCTTTTGGAGCTGGTACATGAAGAATGGCAGAAAGGTGATCCTCATCAGGTTGAATTCCTTGCGCGTTCACCATATGACCCAGAAAGCGCAGACTGGATTTGTTAAACTGACATTTCGATTAATTCAGCTTAAGTCCAGCATCTTGTAAGCGCTGAATAACTGCTTTAAGCGTGTGATCGTGTTCAGTTTGCGTCTGTCCCCAGAGAATAATATCATCAAGGTAATTGGCAACATTTGGAAGTCCCTGCAAAACTGTTGCCAACATTTTCTGAAACGCAGAAGGTGCTGAAGCAAGTCCGTACGGTACGCGGCAAAATCTGAAAAGTCCTTCGTGAGTAATGAAGGCGGTCAGATCGCGGCTCTCCTCATGTAAGGGCAACTGAAAATAAGCACTCTCCAAATCAATAGTGGAAAATACAGACGCTCCCCTTAACAAAGACAACAATTCATCAATGTGTGGTAGTGGGTAGCTATCCGTAACTACAGCCTTGTTGGGTTCTCGCAGATCCACGCACATTCGAATGGCACCCGACTTTTTCTGCACTACCACAATCGGGGAGACCCACGGTGAAGCGTTCACTCTCTCGATAATATCAGACTCAAGAAGGTGCTGAATTTCCTCACTGACTGCGGCTCTAACAGACAACGTTAAGCGGCGAAATTTCTGGCGCACAGGAGCAACAGCTGGAGAAGTCTTTACTTTGTGAACAAAGCCTTTTGCACATCCCAAAGCAGAAGGCGTCAACGCAGACAATCGCAGCACAGGAGTTGAAGACTGCTCTGGCAAAATTGAATTGCCTTCAAACCGGAGACGTAACCCATTAATAAGATCCATGCCGAGCAGAGCTGTGCCAGATTCCACCACGAAGAATGACGTAGAGCAGGTGATGTCATCCTTAGAGACAGTGACAGGTAAGCAGCCAAGTACAGGAATCGGAGCACGAGAATATGTCACTAGTTTCAATGAAGGTGGCAGCAAATCGTCTTTCTTGAAGTGTGTGTCATACACAATTTTGGGCAAGATCGAAACAGATGACCCAGAATCCACGATAAGCTCGATAGGCACACACGTAGTTGCGGTCGCAATAAGAGCAGTGCACCGGATTTTATCCGTTAGTGAGTAATGCATATAAAGAATCTGAACTTCAGGCAAGTCAATTTCACGCACTGAGCAAGCTTGTCCCGAACGACACACCCGCGAATAATGTCCCATATTTTGACAGTTATTACACTGTGCCGATACAGCAGGACAACTACGATCATTTGCAAGGTGTTTCTGAGATCCACAGCGATAGCATTCACGAGAGGACGAAGCAGGTGCAGTAGTTGACGAAGGCTTTGAAGAACGCTTTGTAGACGGTGGGTTAAAAGGTGGTCTAAGACGGAAACGTCCAGCTGCAGGTGAAGGCTTTGTATGTATTACTTGCACAGGAACAGAACGAGTATTTGATAATAGTTTGGCTTGTTCACCAGCAGCTTCTGTTTGGGTGGCAATAGTAATGGCTTTTTCCGGAGTCAAATCAGATTCCAAAAGCAGTCTCTCACGAATCCGATGACTGGACACATGCTCCACCAACTGGTCACGCAACATTTCGTCCAGAGTAGCTGCAAAGTCACAAGTAACTGCTAAATCCCGTAAAGCAGCTACGTACTGAATTATAGTTTCCCCTGATGCCTGAACACGTTTCCTGAAAGCGTGGCGCTCAGCCACTATGTTCCGTCGGGGGGTAAAATGCGCTTCCAAGGCCGCAATCGCATCTTCCATCGAATCACCTTGATTCGGCAAGGAATAGAACAATCTTTGTCCTTCAGTCCCCAGACAATGTAGCTGTAGTGCTCGTTTGCGCTCGACCGGCCATGCATCTCCAGATGCACCAACAACCAGCAAATAATTCCGGAACATCCGTAGCCACGTGTCGAAAGGAATAGTTGGTTCTCCAGGACATGGCAAAAATGGCGTAGGAAATGTAAAAACAGCTGCCATCA